GCGGTAGGGAAGTGGTTAATAATGAAAAGTAAGTTCAAGAGTCATTTTGTATTATTTTTTTTAATTCTCAGCTTTTATGAAAATAATTTGTAGTAATCTTGACTTGAAGGTCTTTCTTCATCATTTCCTATTATAGGGTGACAGATCCCTGTCCTTGTCTTCCAGTGTTGTCACCCTGTTACACAAGCTGTCAAAGGGGAATACCTGCAGCCAAGCTGATGCACATTGCCCAGACATGGTCCACTGTTATCACCATCAATGAATCCCCCCTGAGAGGTGTCATGCAGCCATCATTGGAGTACAAAAAAAGTTGTTGGCAATTGTTTATAATATCAGCTTCTCTTTATGTAATATAGGGCATATATTCTTCAATTCATCCCCGTTGAGGGGTGTACCAGCATCCCTTTAATTGACTAAGTTGAAAAAAACATATAACAGAAGGACCTTAATGTAAGAGACTTTTAAGGTATGTTATTTATCTATACACAGGCATTTTATGAAAAATCTGTTTTATCTTTATTCTTTATTTCAAATATAAAAAAAATCTTACTCTTTCATTTCAATGTATCTTTATTAATTTTTCAACAAAGAAAAAAATAAACAACAAGAAGTAAAAAAAAAGACAAGAAGAAGTAAGAAAAAACAGTCACGTATGCCACTCAAGGAAGCAACACATCCACCAATAAATACAGGAACATAAATGAGTGTGAATTATTATTATACAGTATTTATAAAGCGCCAATAGTTCGCTCAGCGCTGTACATTACAATGGGGGACAGAACAATAACAATGCAGGAAGGGGGTTGGAGGGCCCTGCTCCTTGGAGCTTACAATCTAGGAATTATAAAAATAAGTATTTTTGCCCATAGAAGGATAATAAGTAAAATATTGTACATCAGTATGTTATTTAGAGTACCAAAATACCTATGGCCGCTAAGATTTCTCAGTTTTTTCAGACACCTATTGCGATTTGATAAGGTCAGCAACTTGGCAGCTAACAAAATGTGTGACACTACTGTGTGATAAATCGAGGGAAAGTTTAAGATGGCCTGTGATGGGAGTCACTTTGGGTGGGGGGCCCATGGAACACAGCTCACTTTGGAGAGGTGGGAAGACCCCTGTCTCAGCTCCCCATATTATGTGTAAGTCACCCTGTGCCTGTTAGGGGTATGGGGTGAAATGTTCTAATATTGGTGTGGGGGTTGTCCATTGCTTAATGCCATGTGGTTGTATCCCATTGTTCTATTGTGTGTCTTGCTTGGAAGCAAACTATTATGGGATGTATGTGTTTGTTTTCTAGCTTGGTGGGGGGTGTTTCCAACAGCTGTTCCCCTTGATGGAACTGTCTGCTGATGTGTTTCTCGTTACTGGGTGTGGATTGCCCCGTCCTGTGTCTTGTCTCTGTGTTAAAATAAAGTAGTCTATTTTCTGATTTATTTCAAGACTGGTCTCATCTAGTCTCATATGGTCAGCGGTGGTGTCAGTGGATCTGTGTTTGGAGAGGGAAGCAGGAGTCTAACGGAAATACCCAAGAGCAGTCGGGTCCGGTTCCGTTACATGGTCACAGTGGGATAAGGACTAGTTAGGATCCCTGATAGACTAGAGAGGAGCTACAAGATCTTCCTCCAGAAACTTCATAGGTTTTTTCATGTCCATAGTATGTGTAATCAGTTTTCTACTTGGCCACAGCCCCGACAGCATAGAGAGTACCCAAAGGAGGAAAATTTGTCAATGCGGTAGGGCTTCTGATACCACCAAGTTATTATTTTCCAGGAAAGCTCTCAGTGGTTGACACAATGAGAATGTTAAAACACTAGTGGAACACTTTGAGCCACTGAGGTATCATGAAAGACTGTTGGAGATCTCATATGACCACTGTGACAGCCAATCACTGCAGTCACATGATCATACACCCCAACCCACATACCGCCATCAGAAACCCCTTAAAGGGTCAGGAGGCTCTGGTGCCAAGGTGTTAATGTAAATATTCTTACAGATGTTTTTGTTGAAAATAGAGAGATTTCCAAAATTACTTTGCCATTGCTTGAGATAGCAAAACAAAAACATATATTTTTTTTTCAGGACAAACAAACCTTTCTATAGGTGCTATTGGGAGAGATTTAGTAAAACTGCAGAGTGCAAAATCTGTTGCAGCTCTGCATAGAAACCAATTAGCGTCCAGGTTTTATTGCCAATGTTTAACTGAACAAACTGAAGTTAGAAGCTGATTGGCTACCATGAACAGCTGCAACAGATTCTGAGTGCTCCAATTTTTATAACCCCCTCCCCATCTTGCATTTTTTTCTATGCAATGTATAGATAAAAACTGGAAACCAAACATAAAATAGACTTTTTTTCTACTTTAAACGGTGTTGGTTAAAGCAAAACAAAACAAAAATTGTGTTACTGCATGTACAAAGTATACATTGTGTATTTTATTTATTTATTTTATTTGTGTTTTGTTTACAAGGTTTTTTTGGCACAGAAGATTGAAAAGTTATTTACAATTTTTAAATACATGTATAGCTTTTCAAACATTTAATGCATTTTTAAAGTGACACCAAAAAATAAATCAGAGTACATAATGAACACAAACAAAAAAAATGCAAGCAAAAAACAAGGTTTAATATTAATGGTTTAAAATATTTTACTAGGGGATATTTAGAAACACATTTATTAAATTTTTTTTCCTGAATAGGATGCTTTAACTGACATATGCAGGTCAATGGTTATCCCTGTGATCTTTACATAAACAAAGACGAGTAACTGCAAAGTAACAATAATAATAATAATAATAATAATAATAATAATAATAATTAAAAACACATTTTAAAAAATTATCTCTCAGTACTTAATGTACTGTATGTTGTGGTATACTACATGGTGCTTATTTCTCTAAAAGAGAGCCCTATTTCAACAGGAGGTGAAGTGAACATCTCCGTGTGAACTATTGTTCTGGTGACAGAGGGAACTTCACTCACCTTGGAGAGATTCTCTCTCTTTATGTTATATCTACAGTCATGGCCAAAAATATCAGCACCCCTGCATTTCTGTCAGATAATGCACCGCCCTGAAAATGCAATTTCAAATGTTTAGGCATTCTCATGTTTATGGTGCCTTGAAAAAGTATTCATACCCCTTGACATTTTGCACATTTTTATAATTTTGTATAACCTTGCTTTAAACTTCTTCACAACTTTATCCCTGACCTGTCTGGTGTGTTCCCTGGATTTCATGCTGTTGTTTGTTCACTAATGTTCTCTAACAAACCTCTGAGGGCTTCACAGAACAGCTGTATTTATACTGAGATTAAATTACACACAGTTGGACTCTATTTACTAATTAGGTAACTTCTGAAGGCAATTGGTTCCACTAGATTTTAGTTAATGGTTTCCGAAGAAAGAAGAAATATAAATGCACTCCAAAATTTTCATATATTTATTCGTAATAAACATTAAAAACTATTTATCATTTTCCTTCCACTTCACAATTATGTACCGCTTTGTGTTGGTCTATCACATAAAATCCCAATAAAATACACTCTTTAGCTGTAACATGAAAAATGTGGAAAATTGCAAGCGGTATGAATACTTTTTCAAGGCACTGTATTTATTTTATTTGTATTGGTATAACATAAAAAGTGCACAAACAAAAAGCCAAATTTGGCACATTCCACCCAAAACCCTCAAAATGGACTGGACAAACTTATTGGCACGCTCAATTTAATATTTGGTAGTCACCCCCTTGGAAAAAATAAGTGAAATCAATGGCTTCCTGTAACTATCAATAAGTTTCTTACACCTCTCTGCTGGAATTTTGAACCACTCTTCTTTCACCAACTGCTCCAGGTCTCTCAGATTTGAAGGGTTTCTTTCCCCAACTGATGTTTTGAGATCTCTCCACAGGAGCTCTATGGGAATGAGATCTGGACTCATTGCTGGCCAGTTCAGTCCTCTCCAGCGCTTTGTCTGAAACCATTTCTGGGTGCTTTTTGATGTGTGCTTTGGGTCAGTGTCCTGCTGTAAGGCCTATGACCTTGACCCAACTTTCTGACAGTGGGACCTACATTGCACCCCAGAATTCTTTGGTAGTCTTCATAATGCCATGCACACGGTCAAGACATCCAGTGCCTGAAGGAGCAAAGCAACCCCAAAACATCAGTGAACCTCCACCATGTGTGACTGTAGGGACTGGATTATGTTCTTTAAAGGCCTCATTGCTTTTTTCTGAAAACAAAATGATGGGCTTTACCAAAAAGCTTTAATTTTGTTTCGTCTGTCCACAGCACATTCTCCCAAAAGCTTCAATTTGTCTGGAAGTTGATCGAGGTTCTTTATCCACCATTCCAACAATCCTTAGTTTCAATCTTTGATCAAGTTTTTTCTCTTTCATCCATGTCCAGGGAGATTAGCTACAGTGCCATGTGCTGTGAACCTGTTAATGGATACAGATGAGTTTAATTACAAATCACAGGAGCATCACCAACTTGGAATGCAATTATTTCTGACAATTTTGAGAAGGTGCCAATAATTTTGTCCAATCCATTTTTGGGGTTTTCCGTAGAATGTGTCAGATTTGCTCCTTGTTTTTCCACTTTTTTGTGTCACACCAATACAAACAAAACCCCCATCCCTGAAGACCAACTCTTTTGATCATCACCTGCTGTCCAGTTTCTGGTACCTGTGCTGCCCTGAGCCTCGCACATCTGTTCCCACATTCAGGTGTGTTTTAACCAGAGAAGACCAAGGAATAATATTTGTTAGGTGGAAATGTTGGTCTATTCCTCCTAAAAAATGTTAAAAAAATTTAAAACTGTAATAAATTAGTTCAAATGTTACTTTTTACTGAAATGCATGTCCAAAACGTTCTGGGTGAATTTGCCGACAACTTTTTTCAATTCTTGATTCCTCAGGCTGTATATATAAGTGGATTTATCATCGGAGTGACTACAGTGTACAGTAATGATATGAGTTTAGTAATATCCCTTGTCTGTCCTCTATTAGGTATCAAATATACACAAACCAGGGTACCATAATAGATGCAGACCACAGTCAGGTGGGAGCTGCATGTTGAGAACACCTTCTGTCTTCCAGTAATAGATGGGATTTTACAAATAGTAGATATAATATAAGCATATGATACAATAATAATAAAGAATGGCATGACAACAAATATAATCCCCAAAATTGTCACCTCAAATTGAGCAGCAGTGGTGTCTGAGCAGGAAAGTTGTAGGATTGGATCAAAGTCACAGAAAAAGTGATCAATAATATTGGGGCCACAAAATTGTAATGTTGATATGGTTACATTGTAAACCAAAGCTACAAACACACTTAGGATCCAGCATAGGATAACCAGTGTCCAGCAAACCTGGTAGTTCATTTTCAAAGAATAATGTAATGGTTTACAGATGGCCAAATATCTGTCCCAACTCATCACTGTCAGAAGAAGACACTCTGAAGATTCTGTGATGACAAAGAAATAAAATTGAGTGAGGCAACCAGAAAAGGACATGATAGTCTTTTTCATCAACACAGTGCTGATCATGTTAGGAAGAATATCAGTCACCAACAAGATATCTAATATAGACAGCTGGGAGAGGAAGAAGTACATGGGGGAATGAAGGGTTCTGCTGTAGGACACCAGTGTGATGATCAGGAGGTTTCCACATATTGTCACACAATAAAGCAAAAGGAAAAGAAAAAACACTAAAAATGTCATACTTTGAGGAATATGAAATCCTAAGAGGTGAATGGTTGTAATTCTGGTCACATTCCTTTTATCCATTTGCTGAAGGCAGATTACAAACTGGTGAACCTGACTTGTCTAGTTAATGAGGAAAGAAGGAAGGAAGGAATTTTATTGGCGTGAGTGCGAGTCAAAAATAGATTCTGATTGGTCAGTATGAGTTACCGTACATTCCATTGATTCACAGGCTAAGACACATTTTGGTGCCTCACATTTCAGACCTGTTCCTGGGTGTATATGACCAGCTAATTCCAAAAATGGCACCATTTTCCCCTATCTGCTCTAGTTTTTGAGATACAGCATAAATGCCCAATGCCACTCTCCACCCACAAATCAGGATATTTTAATGCAGTGTTTCATTTAATCCCCTTGTAGCATGAAAGAAACACGTAAAAAAGTAGCCACAACCTCTACGGTGTTCAGACCGTAAATTATTTGAGTGGCAATATTCACACATCTCCTATATGATCATAACTGTAACATAGATAAAAACTTCTACTTTAGAATCCTGTGTTTCCGATGTTAAAATTACAGTTGGAGCTACGGAAACTCGCTCACCATACCTACTAATGTACAAAAACACAAACTGCGGTAGGTAACAGAAGCATAAATTGAGCAGCAAGATCTTTTCAAAAACGTACTAAAAAATTCATATAAATTTGACCACATCTAATAAAGTAGAGCTGATGTAGTCTAGTCAATGTGATTTTCTGAATCAGTGCCTCAAATAACCCCAAGAACAGGTCTTAAAAGCACTTTGTTTTTTTTTTTGCTGGTCAGTGAATTATCATTGAACATTGAACAGATTCAAAACAAGTTGCATCATGTTGGCTAGGATTAGAAATCTAAGTCTATCTAACTCAGTTTACTGTGGGGGTAAAAAGGATTAAAGGCATTATCAAAAGCCAATCAAAAATATTTGCAATAGAAAAGTATTGATAAATTGGTATATGTAGTGCTCTCCAAATTTTTGCATTTCAAGTATATTTATCAGCATTTCCCAGGTAGTATTTTTTTTTTCTCTTCTTGCATACAGATTAAAAAAAAAGAACTTCTTGTGCTGGGAAAAAACTTGAGAGTGTAATAATGTAATAATCAAGAAAGCTCAGATCAGCAGAAGATGCTGTTCAAGGAACAAAGATTATTTTATTCTCATACAGAGGAACTCTTCTTTTATAGATAACTAGAATTAATTGTGTGGAATCATTGGGGATGTGTAGCGATTGTTGATATTTCCATGTGATTCATTATTTTGTTTTACAGAAGAGAATTATTTCTTAATGACTTTTCTTTTACAAAACAAACTTTGCTTATTGTCAATAAGTCATCAGTAGGCTTAAAAAATAATTTATATTGAGTTAAATAATGCTCATTTATACATATTTATTCAAAATTCACTAAACGAATACATTTCTGTTGTTTTCATTGGACATCTTTACAGAATATCTTGATAAATGACCATACCATTGGATGAGTTTGTCCACACTAGTAGACAAAAGCCCAGAAAGTCAAACTAATGGCTTGTATGTGGTAGCTGGTTAAAATGGTTCTAAAGGCTGAAGGTTTTTTACCTTCATGCATTGAATGCATGAAGGTAAAAACACTTCTGTAAGCACCCGTTCCCCCAAGCCCCCTATATGTACCTGAGCCCAATCACGATACAGTGCTGTGCAAAAGAGCAGAGGCTTTCTTGGCTATCTCCGTCTTTGTTGGCTCAGATACAGCAATGAGAGCCAATGGCTTCTGCTGCTGTCAATTACAGCCAGCGAAGAAGAAGTGGGGGTGGAGCTGAGCCATGCTCTGTGTGTATTATAGACATACAGAGCCAGCTCTGGAGTGAGCATGCACGAGTGCCCGCATAGCAAGTGGCTTTCTATGGGTTCACTCAGCATGGGGGAGGAGCCAGGAGTGCTGGCCAGGGACCTGAGATGAGGAGGATCGGGGTATGACATGTTTGTTATTTTTAATTTTTAAAATTCTAAAGACTTGAAGAGTCACTAAACCCTCAAGCTCAAAATAACTTTTAAAACCATCATGATATTATAACCATGACCTCTTTATTTGTATCGGCATATGCTTAACCCTTTCACTGCCAGGGACATTTTGTGTGATTTTATTTTTTTTTGTACACGTTAACCAGTTCCCTACCGCACTATACCCGAAGGATGGCTACAGTGAGGTTGTCTGATTCTGGGACGATGTCCATGGACATCATACCAAAACATGCCCCATGTGCGCCCATATGGAAACAGCTGATTATGGGATACGGTAAACGGCCAATCACGGCAGCCTTTTACCATGTGATCAGCTGTGTCCAATGACACAGCAGATCGCCAGGTAAATACAGTTGCCAGTTATCGGCTGCACTTTCCTCATGCTGCCACAGCATGAGGAAAGTAATGCCAATAACTTGCAATTGTCAGAGAAGTGATCGGCACTGGTCATGAGGGCACTGATGATCAGTGCCCAGCAGTGCCACCCACCTGTGCCCACCTGTACCCATCAGTGCCGCCCACCTGTACCTATCAGTTCCCCCCCGTGTGCCCACCTGTACCCATCAGTGCCGCCCACCTGTACCCATCAGTGCCCCTCACGTGTGCCCTGTAGTGCCACCTACCTGGGGACACTATACAAAGCAGACACTAGTATAGTTCTGTTTGTAATCATTCTATTGATCCGTACAAACACTATACTAGTAATGGGGGTGATCAGAGACCTATAGCAAGAGTGCGATAGTGTGCGGCAATCTAATGCTAGCTGACTGTGGCTGGGAGTGGCGCTTACTGACTCACTGATCAATGAAAAATTCTATATACTGACACTGTACTAATGGCACTGGCTGGGTGATGGGGCGATCAAAGGGGTCATGGAGGTGATCAAAGGGTTAAATGTGCTAATCTAACGTGTGCGTGTAAAATGTAGTGCTTTTTTGTGGTGTTCTCTCTTCTCTTCCTGGACCGTCTGGGAGGCAGCGGAGGCACAGGCGTTTTCACAGACTGAAATAGGAAGCAACGTAAGATTACATCACTTTGCCCAGAGCCGCTGCTCACCAGCAAAACAGTAAGCAGTTGGCAAGCAGTAAAAAAAAAAAACCCTTAATTTTTTTTTTTTTATTCTCAATATGGTATTTTTAATTTTATTTTTATTAAATGTTTTCTTCTTATTTTTTTAATACTTTTATCAGAATAGTACAATGTTACCATAGTAACATTGTACTTCAGTCATGGCCAAAAATATTGGCACCCCTGCATTTCTGTCATTTTGTTGCAATTACAAATGTTTAGGCATTCTAATGTTTACAGCGCAATGAAAATATATTCATGCACCTTGACATTTTCCACATTTTTTTTATAACCTAACCCTGCTTTAAACTTCTCCACAACTTTATCCCTGACCTGCCTGGTGTGTTTCTTGGCCTTCATGCTGCTGTTTGTTCACTAATAATTTCTAACAAACCTCTGAGGGCTTTATAGAACAGCTGTATTTATACTGAGATGAAATCGCACACAGGTGAACTCTATTTACTAATTAAGTGACTTCTGAAGGCAATTGGTTCCACTAGATTTTAGTTAAGGGAATCCGAGTACAGGGGGCTGAATACAAATGCACGCCAAACTTTTCAAATATTTATTTGTAATAAATTTTGAAAACCTTTTATCATTTTCCTTCCGCTTCACAATTATGTGACACTTTGTGTTGGTCTATCACATAAATTCCCAATAAAATACGTTTACCTTTTTAGCTGTTACATGACAAAATGTGGACAAATTCAAGGGGTATGAATACTTTTTCAAGGCACTGTATTTATTTTGTTTGTTTTGGTATGACATAAAAAGTACAGAAACAAAAAGACAAATCTGGCACATTCCACCCAAAACCCCCAAAATGGACTGGACAAAATGATTGGCACCCTCAATTTAATATTTGGTAGCACACCCCTTGGAAAAAATAAGTAAAATCGATGGCATCCTGTAACTATCATTACGTTTCTTACACCTCTCTGCTGGAATTTTGAACCACTCTTCTTTCACTAACTGTTCCAGGTCTCTCAGATTGAAAGGGTTCCTTTTCCCAACTGCTGTTTTGAGATCTTTCCACAGGAGCTCTATGGGAATGTGATCTGGACTCATTGCTGGCCAGCTCAGTACTCTCCAGCACTTTGAAACCATTTCTGGGTGCTTTTTGATGTGTGCTTTGGGTCATTGTCCTGCTGTAAGACCCATGACCTTGACTATGAGTTGGAGACCCAACTTTCTGACCCTGGGACCTACATTGCACCCTAGAATTCTTTGGTAGCCTTCAGATTTCATAATGCCACGCACACGGTCAAGACATCCAGTGC